TATCATTTGACATAATAATTCTAGAATATAAAGTATTAGAATGATGACTTAGTCTGGTACACTGAGATGAGAAATAATCCTGTAGCTGTGGATCTTCTTATGCTGTCTCTATTCTATTCACCATTCAAAGAAGTATACTCCTAGTTTCTACTTATTCAGATAAAAGAAATGAAATAACTTCTCCAGATACCAGAAAACCACCACCACTTCAGCTCAAGCCTTTAACCACTCTTTGTACCCCAGTATCCTTATTGTTAAAATAGCTAGGCTTAAGCTTATTATTATAGAGTAATGTGTAAATGTGCCCCTCTGTTCTAATATCTTTTTTTTTTTTAAGAGATTTTTGACATAGGGCATGTGTGATAAGAAAAGAAAAGCATTTTTCCTTGTGTCAACTTAATAAGGCAATACCATTAAATATTTAATCAAATTATTGGATGTATTAGTTATTTTTTTCTTTTAAAGCAAAACAACTGAATTTATAAAATTTGGTTTTTACCTTGGTAAAAGCAGAATTTACAAACTTCATCTTTTTCCTTGCAGACACCTTTCAAAAGACATCTTCATCAAGGAGTAAAGACTTAATGTCACGAGGAAAAAAAGAACACAATAGCTCAATTTTGATAAACTTAAACTAGAGAAACACAAATTAACTTTTTAAGGAAAAAGACAGGAAGTCACATAATACTAAATACAGGAAAAATATACAAAGCCCTAAATAAATCAATTCTCCTTAGATAATCTATTATTAAAAAAATCTAAGTATTAGTTTACTGTCAATATTTATTTCCCAATTAGAATGGTTATTCTTTTAAAGCTGGATTATCATTTGACATAATAATTCTAGAATATAAAGTATTAGAATGATGACTTAGTCTGGTACACTGAGATGAGAAATAATCCTGTAGCTGTGGATCTTCTTATGCTGTCTCTATTCTATTCACCATTCAAAGAAGTATACTCCTAGTTTCTACTTATTCAGATAAAAGAAATGAAATAACTTCTCCAGATACCAGAAAACCACCACCACTTCAGCTCAAGCCTTTAACCACTCTTTGTACCCCAGTATCCTTATTGTTAAAATAGCTAGGCTTAAGCTTATTATTATAGAGTAATGTGTAAATGTGCCCCTCTGTTCTAATATCTTTTTTTTTTTTAAGAGATTTTTGCTATAGGGCATATGTGCTCACCAGAGAAAGAGAAACATAGAGAAAGTGAGAAATCACCCTCAGAGGGTGATGGTCAGACCACAATCCCTTCTCCTCTCAGGATTTCTGGCGTGTACATGTGCCAGGATGAATTTCAAGCTACTGAGTCTGGGCTTGAACTGCGGTCAACCATGTGGGAGTTTAACGCTTTAACCACTATGCCACCTGCTGGCCCCAATGTCTAATAATTTTTTTGGAGAGGTTTTTGCTATAGGGTGCATGCGCTCGCCAGAAAGACAGAGTCAGAAAGCAAGAAATTATCCCCTGGGGGTGACGGCCCCATCAAAATCTCTTCTCCTCCATCCTCCTCTCAGAATCTTGGGCACGCACACACGTACATGCACCCAGCTTGAGTTTAAACCACTGGGTTTGGGACTCAAACTGTGGTTGACTACATGGGAGTCCAACAGCATAGCCATTACGCCAACTGCCGGTCCCGGCCAATTATCTAATTTTTTATACAAAGTACACTGCCATACTTTCCACATTACTTTTCTGTAACTTTGCTTTATTAAAAAATACATGCAACAAATCCCCTAAGCAACTTGCATTTTATGTATTACTCTTTCCTTCTATTTCTCTATCCTCTATTTCATCCCAATAAAAGAATTCTTTAAAAAACTGTGGTGAAATACCTGTGAAGTCTTCAAAGGGTTCATTGAAAATATGCAATATGAAAAAGCTATGCATAAAGTATTTCATGATGGGCAAAGTCTTTTTACAAGCAAAATGAGAAATAGTGATGGACTGTTTTAAAAAAATAATTAGAATAATAATAATAATGTTTGGGGAAAACATAGAAAAGATATTGAATGATGAAGTGGGGAGATTAATGTCTCTGTATTGACTGACATGCATGGCATTCCCTTTTGAAAAAGCAATGTAATACACTGTAAAGTTATATGTAATCCAATGTAATATAAAGAAGATTATGATAATAAAAAATTAAAAAAAAAGCTATACATAGATCGGGATTCTGGAAATGGACAAACACACACAACTTTTAAGTGCTTTGTCAACTTCCAAGGCCAGGACCCAAATGAAGCTCAGTCATGTAGGATCTGGTTCCCTTAACCACTAGGGGCCAGCATCCCTCCCCCATGTATATGTATTATACTCTGTGTGTGTGTGTGTGTGTGTGTGTGTGTGTGTGTGTGTATGTCTATACAAATTCTCATCCTTCCCTCCCTCTTCCCCTCTTTCATCTTCCTTCTTTTTTAGTTTTACTACAGGGTGCATACACTTGCTGAAGTCAGAGAGAGAGAGAAATTGAATATTTACTCCCTGGGGGGATGGCCACGCTGCAATCCTTTTCTCTATTCTCCTCAGGATTTTGGGCATACATGTGCATGTACATGTACCCAGTGAGATTTTTCAAGCCAAGCCACCAGGTCCAGGAGTAGAACTGCACAGCTGGTCATGTGGGGATCAGCTGCCTTAACTTCTACCCACCTTCTGCTCTACTTCCATGTATTTTCAATTAAACCAAAAATAACAAACTTGAAAAATAAATATAAATACACATTTATGTCACTATTTTATAGATCATTTTAAAAAAACTTCACAGTGGGGCTGGCAGGTGGTGTGGAGATTAAGGGCCCTGGACTTACACATGGGCAACTGTGGTTCAAGTCCTGGACCTGGCAGCTTGCTTTCTCACTTTCCCTTTCTCTCTCTCTGTCCATCTCTGGTCAAATGAAAATAAATAAGTAACTAAAGTTAAATAATTCTTTTTGAGAGATTTTTAAATATAAGGTGTGTGTACTTGCTGGACAAACAGAGAGAAGGCAAGAAATCACCCCCAACCCCACACCACAATCCCTTTTTTTCGATTCTCCTCTTGGGATATTGGGCACGCATGTACTTGCGCCCTGTGTGAATTTTAAGCTGCTGGGTCTAGGACTTGAATTGTAGTCAACTATGGAGGAGTCCAGCAACATAACCATTACTCCACCTACTGATGCCAATAAAACACTTTTTTAAAAAAGAATTGTGATGAAATACCTGTGGAGTCTTCAAAAGGTTCATTGAAAACATGTAATATGAAAAAGCTATGCATAGATTAGAAAAATGTTTAGCATTAAAATAAATCCAGCAGTTGGCATAATGGCTATGTTGCTGAACTCCCATGTAGTCGACCACAGTTTGAGTTCTGGACCCAGTGGCTTAAACTCACGCTGGGTGCGTGTGCATGTGTGCCCAAGATCCCGAGAGGAGAATGGAGGAGAAAGGGATTGCGGCGTGGTCATCCTCAATGGGGGGTGATTTCTCACTTTCTGTCTGTCTCTCTGGTGAGTGTGCATGCCCTAGGGCAGAAACCTCTCCAAAATAAAATAAAATAAATAAATAAATAAATAAATCCATACTTTAATGCCAATTCTTTATGAACTTTTTGAAGTCCTCTTGTAAAAAAATTATTTGAACCATTATAAATGTACAATTCTGTGGCATTAAATACATTCACACTGCTTTGTAATCATTATCACTGTATTTTCTCAATTGATACCGTACTCTTCACTGCCTATTCCCATTGCTCCTCAGCCCTAGGAATTCACCATTCTACTTTGTGTCTCTGAGAGTGTGGTTGGGATAGTCATGATGCATTTTTGCATAAAAAGACATAAAAAAAGTATGACTTTCCCAAAGACCTAATATATACATTCATATAAATGGAACAATACAGCATTTATCATTTTTTGGCTTATTTCACTTAACATAACTTTTTGAAGTTTCATCTACGTTGTCGCATACATGAGAATTTCTCTTGATACTTGAATATTCCATTTTGTGTATATGTATTTTGTTTATCCATTCATCTGAAGATAGACATTTAAGCTGTTCCTATCTTTTGGCTGGTATGTTTCCATGAATATAGTATGAAATATACTCGGGGGGGGGGGGTTGTGAAATAGACGCTGGGGGGGGGGGGAGCCTATGGCATGGTGGTTAAGATGGGTGGATTCCACATGGCTGACTGCATGGTTCGAGTCCCAGATTCAGTGGATTGAGAAACATGCTGGGCACATGGGCATGTGTACCCCAAAACCCCAAAAAGAGAAATGGAAAATTGTTTGTGGCATAATCATTACTCTTGGAGGCAAGGACTGGGGGTGCTGGTGATTTCTCACTTTGTGTGTGTCTCTCTCTGGCAAGTGCATGTGCCTTCAGGCAAAATTTAAAAAATAAAAATTTGTGAACTGGTCCTATAGCCTATAAGTTAAGGGAGACAGATCCTACATGGCCAACCATGTTGCTGGGCACATGTGTGTGTGCGCGTGACCGAAATCCTGACAGAATGAAGAAATGGAGGAAAAAGGATTGTGGCATAATCACACCCCCATTAGGAAGTGTTTTCTCCTCTCTGGCAAGGACCATGTTACATTCCCACGAGCAATTTATAGAGCTTCAATTTGTCTACATCCTTGCCATTACTTATAGTCTTGTTTTATTTTGATAATGGGCATCCTAATGGAAGAATAGTGGTATCTTATTGTGGTTTTGACTTGTGTTTTATGATTAGTGATGCTAAGCCTCTTCTGTCTACTGGACATCTATATATCTTCTTTGGAAAAATGTCTTCGCACGTCTTTGGGCCATTAAACTTTTTTTTTGCTACAGGGTGGCTGTGCTCACTGGAGCGAGCAGGGGGTGGGGGTTGTAAGAAAGCACCTTCCCGAGGGAGGAGCGTCATACCACAATCCTTTCTCCTCCACTCTCTTCTTGGGATTCTGGGCACATACACAACCATGCCCAATATTTTTCTTTTTAAAAATTATTTTCTTTATCACTGTTATTAACTAGAGAGAGATAGACAAACAGAGAGAGGGAGAGCAAGAAAGCAAATCACCAGGTCTGGGATCAATCATGGTTGGCCATGTGGGAGAATCCAGTGCCTTAGTCAGAATGCCACCTGCCATGCCCCATGTCCAGTGTTTTCCAAGCTGGTAGGTTTGGGATTCTAGTCATGCAGTCAGCCATTTGGGATCCAGCCATCTTAACCACTACAGCACCAGCTGGCACCCTTTGTCTATTTTTGGATGGGTTGTTTCTATGTTGAGCTTTTCATATATTCTGACTACTAGCCCCTTATTAGGTACATGATTTGCAGATATTTTTCTCATTCAGTGGACTGCATTTTCACTTTTATGGTAGTGTCTTTTAAATGTGCAAATGCTTCAAATTTTGATACAGTTCAATTTTTCTATATTGTTGTTGTTGCCTGTGATTTGGTGTCATACTGAAGAAACTGTTGCCAGATCCAATGTCTTGAAGCTTTTTCCCTATGTTTTCTTCTAAGTTTCATAGCTTTATGCCTACGTTTAGGTCTTTGTTCCATTTTAATTTCTGTATATCATTTCAGATAATGATCCAACTTCATCCTTCTCTGTGTGGAAATCCAGTATTCTCATATGCCATTTGTTGAAAAGACTGCTTTCTCCATTGAATGTGGACCTTTGACATCTTTGCTGAAAAGCTTTTGGCATATATGTAAGGGTTTATTTCTAGGCCTTCAAGTCTATTTCAATGTCTCTTTTATGCTAGTACCATTCTGTTTTGATTACCATGGCTTTGTAGAAAGTTTTGAAATCAGGTAGCATAAGACCTCCAATTTTCATTTTTTTCAAGATTGATTATTTGATGTCCCTAAAGAATCTACATGAATTTTGGGATGGACTCTCCAAATCTGCAAAAATGAAATAAAAAAAAAATAAAAATAGGCATTGTGGAAAAGATTCAATTAAATCTGTAGATAATTTCTGTAGTATTGTCATCTTAATGATATTAAGTCTCTCAGTCTATGATCATAGATATCTTTGCATTTATTTCTGTCTTAATTTCTTCAACAATGTAGTTGGCTGAATACAAGTTTTTGCTTCTTTGGTTAAGTTTAATCCTAAGTATTTTATATCCCTTTTGATGCTTTGTAAATGAAAATTTCCCCCCTAATTTTCTTTAATTTAAATTACTTTTAGTGTTTAGAAACAAATTATTTTTATGTGTTAATTTTGTATCCTAGAACTTTGCTGAATTCACTTATTAGTTCTAAAAGTTTTTTTGTGGAATCTTAAGGGTTTTCTACATATAAAATTATGCTCTCTGTAAACAGATTTAATTTTACTTTATAATAATATTTTATACCTAAAATTGGTTCAAGAGCTGTTTGGCAATCTTGGTTTGTTCATTCTCTCATTCTCCTGCAAATATGAGACAAGTCTCCTCCCTCCAAATCTCCAACAAATCCTCCTTTCACCCTTACTGAGAAAATACAAAGTATTAAAGAGAAATGCCCTCAATTTCTACTCTATGTATATGTATCTGTGCTCACATAACTCTTCCTTTTGTTATGAATAAACCATCACTATTCATGAGATAAATACCTTTCTTTGTATATTAAATTTTATCCTTGCTTACTAAGGGGTAATTCTTCTAGCAATTTTCCCTTTTTTTAGTTTTTTGCCCTAGGGTGCATGTGCTCACTGGAGAAGAGACAGACAGAGAAAAACAGAGCATGACAGGGAAAGTGAGAAATCATCCCATGAGGGGATGGTCATGCTGCAATCTCTTCTCTATTCTGCTCCTGGAATTTTTGGCAAGATTGCACATGCCCTAGGTGTGATTTTCAAACTACCGGGTCTGGGACTTGAACTATGATTGGCCATGTGGGAGTCTAGTACATTACCACTATATAACCTGCTGGTTCACTCTCCCCTTTTATCTTTAATCTTCTTCCCTACTAGATGATTTATGTAAACATATATGCTTATAATTTCTCTCTGTGGAATTTCATCTCACAAATGTTATTAAGTTCGGTGATAATACTGCAATTTTTTTTTTTCCACAGGACATAAGCATTCACTGGGGGGGAGAGAGAGGAAAGGAAAGTGGGAAATCATCCCCTCTCCCCAGGGAGATGGCCACACTGCAATCCCTTCTCCTCCATTCTCTCCCTGAGATTCTGGGCATGTGTGCTATGTGTTTTTCAAGACACTGGGTCTGGAATTGAAGCACGTGGGATCCAGCACCTTAACTACCATGCCATCTGCTGACACCAATACTGTAATTTTATCACTGTTTTAATAAAAATAACCTTGAAGAAAAATTTCTTCTCTAGCTGTTTTTATTTCATGTCTGCTTTTGATTTCTATTTGAAAGCCTGATAAATTTATACTACTGGGTTGTTGGAAAAGTCATGATGCATTTTTGCATAGAAAAATAGTCATGATTTTTTTGACACCCCAATAGAACAATTTATTCCCACATTCTGGAGAAATATGAAAATTCTTTAAGTGTATTAACAAACTGAAAGAGTCAGAGGAGCAATTCTAGGCACACAGAGAAGGTATATCTTGTTCCTACTGCTCAATTGCCAACAATAACCTTCTGTACTGTAATATTTGATTTTTTTTCTTTTTTCTTTTCTATTTTGGGGTTGCCAAAGAGGTTTTATATCATGCCTTCAACAAGGCATGTTTTAAATTAAAAATTCTCTCAAATCTGTACGTTCAAACTGTTTCCAATATCACACAATAGAGATATTCAGATGCAAATATAGTGTATGAAAATGTTCTGTTAGTTTGTTGTATAGACATCCTTATTCTTTAATATCATTAAACAAACGCCTTAGGTATGAGGTCTAAAACTACCTGAAAATTTCATAAAACATAGTAATTTTGCCAATACCTTACTATGAAGTTGAAAATTCTATAAAATGTCCTACTATATAAAATTTATAAGAAACAGAAAAATGTTTTTTTTTCTCTTTTTTTTTGCTTGACTCTTATTTCTTGGATATAAATGCTTATAAACAAGAAGGCTAGGACCAGCTTTGGTTGAGCACAGGTAGTGCCACTGTTTGGGAGGGTTGAGGATCCTGGGGAGGTAAGAGTTTGGGTCCTGGGCCAACCTGAACACATGCGCTTGTAATCCTGGATTAGCATTAATTTTGTTAATGTGTTTTTAAGTATGACAGTTATATATTGACATTCAGGAAAAAAGCTATATTAAATAAGCATAATAAAGTAGTTATGAATAGACAAAAGATTGACCAAGCATGATGCTATTGTAAAGTACTTATCATTGAGTTCAGTGATTATCCTCTCCCCTGAAGAACTGAGATATTATAATAGTAAATTGTTTCCCAGGTCTTTTCCTTCATAAACTGTATATTCCTACCTGATCTTTGAATCTTCACTAAAGCTACTGCTGGAGACTAAAATCCCATTAATCCTCTTTCTGTTTATGTCTTTGTTTAAAGTTTATTTCTTCCATAAACAAGAAAGAGAGGGACAGAACCTCCAACAGGATCTTGACACAACAATCCACCCTTAGCTTCAGCCAAGCAGAGCCGTTCCATGTAGACCAGTCCTGTAGACATATCATTTTACTGTTATATCAGCCCCATATCTCTACTTTAAAAAAAAAAAAGGAAAAAAAGAATTATTTTATGTATTAATTATTATTTTAATTTGACCAGAGAGAAACAGAGAGAGAGAAGGTAAGTGAGAAAGCCACCAGGTCCGGTACTTGAACCCCAACTGGCCATATGGGTTTCCAGCACCTTACCCACCATGCCACATGATGGCTGTTATATCTCTGCTTTTAAGGACAATTTAAGTCTGTGTTCTCCAGTGGATTCTCTCTTCAACTTTTCTAGCTCATACTGAACTATTTACTAAGAACTTCTGACTATAAACAATTATTCTCAGTATTGAGTACTGTGCTCAGCGGATGTAACTGTTTCACTGTTTTATACCTATTCCCCATTTATTTTTTATTTATTCTATAAACAATTATTTTATTGAACTTTATTTTATTTATTCATTCATTCATTCATTTCTTTAAATTTGACCAGAGAGGGACAGAATGAGAGAGAGAAAGTGAGAAACCAAGCTGTCAGGTCTGGGACTTGTTGGCCACATGGGAGTCCAGCGCCTTTAACTGCCATGCCACCTGCTGGTCCCTCAACCCCCTCATTTAAACCAGACTAACTGTGGCTATTTTTCCTGGTACAGTCCATGCCATTTCTTCATTCCTAAGTCTAGTCTACTGGAAATATCATGGTGTTTCCATCCTTAAATCTCTGCTTTTATTTGATGTCTAGAAGAAAATTTTTTTTCATTTCCCTAAAATAGAAAGAGGCCTGGGACCAGCAATTATCATAATGGCTATGTCGCTGGACTCCCACGTAGTCGACCGCGGTTCGAGTCCCGGACCTGGTGGCTTAAACTCACGCTGGGCACGTGCGCGTGCGTGCCCAAGATCCCGAGATGAGAATGGAGAAGGGACTGTGGCATGGCCATCCCCCCGGTGGGGTGATTTCTCACTTTCTGTCTCTGTCTGGTGAGTGCATGCACCCTGTAGCAAAAACCTCTCCAAAAAAAAAAAAAAAGAGGCCTAATGCCTAGATATAGGACCCCCCCACCTCGAGAAAAGCTCCTTGAAATGAATGAATGAATAACCAAAATATAGAACCATTTCATTTTTGTCCTTTATCTTTGTAAAACAGCCACAATCTTGAATCTGGTGGTTTATATTTTTGGCAATGAGCCCTTAACTATCTTTACTGGCTTTTGTATATCTCTACTTTGCATTCTTACAATCTTTCAAGAAAATTTTTTTTTTTTTTTTTTTTAGAACTGGCCCCATGGGCTAGTGGTGAAGGGAGCTGGATCTTCCATGGTCAAATGCACAGTTAGGGTCTTGGTCCTATGGCTTGAAGAAAGCCACAAGTGTGTGTGTGTGTGTGCTCAGGATTCCAATGGGATGAAAGAATGGTGAGAGGAGAAGGGATTCTGGTATGACCATGCCCCATTGGGAGAGCACATCTTTCTCTCTCTAGCAAGTACATGTAACCTCTGACAAATTAAAAGAATCATTGTAAGGTGAGACAAAAATAAGGAAATTATTCCTTTTTGAGAAGCTAGCTTGAATATAATTTTGAGATGAAAATCTTTAAATATCTTTAATTTTCTTTCTATATCTGACAACAGAATTTAATAAAATTTTTAAAAATACAGTGACACCCAGATTACTTCATAAAGTAAGTATAAGAATTACTTTCCTTCTTATAAATCATTAACATTTTTGCTCAGATGGCATATTAACTTTCTATCTTTATATTTAAAAAAATCTTGCTGTAAGGCGTGTATGCTTGCTGAGAGAAACAGAAAGGGAAAATAAAAAAGCACCTCCCAAGGGGGATGGCCACACTACAATCCCTTCTCTGTTCTCCTCTCAGGATTTTGGGCATGCACCCACATGTGCCTGTTGTGTTTCAAGCCACTGGACTCAGGACTTGAACTGCAGAAGGCCATGTGGGATACAGCCACCTTAACCGCCATGCCACTGACTGGCCCCACTAGGTTACATAAGGCATTACTGTATTTAACAAAAACATTTAGAAATTGTAGGCAAGTCTATGAAACTACAATAGAATTTCAAATTGAATAGGTGTTCATTAACACCAGAATTTACCGGTCAATTTCTTTATGTCTATTTATCAATATAATAAACAGCAGAAGTAGTTTGAGGCAACAATGACACAGAACGGTTAATACGAAGCAAAAAGATCTAAGAGGAATACTTGGCTCTGTCCCTTATAAATTCTTTTTAAATTAAATTTGCTAGAGGGTACGTGTGCTTTCCAGGGAGAGAGAGAGAAATGAAGAGGGAGAAAATGAGAAC